TAATAATCAGAACACTAAACATACAGAATTAAAAAAAGGATATTAAGAGCTGCAAGTGGGAAAGGTCAAGTAACATATAAAGGTAGACCTATTGAATTACACCGGACTTCTCAACAGAGACTCTAAAAGTCATAAGGGCCTTGATTGATGTGCTCTAGACTCTTAAGAGACCACAGATGCCAGCCCAGACTACTATACCAAGCAACACTTTCCATCACCATAGATGGAGAAAACAAAGTATTCCATGACAAAGTCAAATTTAAACAATATCTATCCACAAATCCAGCACTACAGAAGGTACTAGAAGGGAAACTCCAACCCAAGCAGATTAACTACACCCAAGAAAACACAGGAAATAAAGAATGTCACACTAAAAAAAAAAAAAAAACAAAGAAAGGAAGAGCACACGTACGTACACACACACACACACACACACACACACCACCACCACCACCACCACCACCACCACCACCACCACCACCACCACCACCAGCAACAGCAGCAATAACAACAAAATAACAGGAATTGACAATCACTGGCCATTAATATCTCTCAATATCAATGGACTCAATTCCTCCCCCCAAAAGATACAGGCTAACAGAACAGATGTGAAAACAGGATCCATCCTTCTGCTACATAGAAGAAATACACCTTAACATCAAAGATAGATATTACCTCAGAGTGAAGGGTTAAAAAAAAGATTTTTCAAGCAAATGGATCCAAGAAGCAAGCTGGTATAGATATTCTAATATCTAACAAAATAGACTTCAAACAAAAATTAGTTAAAAAAAAAAAAAAAAAGATGGGAAAGGACACTTCATACTCATGAAAGGAAAAAAATCTACCAAGATGACATTTTAATTCTTAACATCTATGCCCCAAATGCAAGGGCACCCACATTTGTAAAAGAGACATTAACAAATAACACACTGACCTTCACACACCAATAGTGGAAGACTACTATCACTAATACCCCACACTTACTAGTAGACAGATCATCCAGACAAAAACTAAACAGAGAATACTGGAACTAACATACATTATAAACCAAAAGGACCTTACAGGTATCTACAGAATATTTCACCCAAATACAAAAGAATATACCTTCTTCTTAGCACCTCACGGAACTTTCTCTAAAACTGACCACATACTCAGTCACAAAGCAAGGCTCAACAGTACAAGAAAATTAAAATGCCCCACTGTATTCTATCAGACCACCAGAGATTTAAGACTTTTTGGACACAATGAAAGTGATGCTCAAAGAAAAATTCATAGCACTATGTGTCTACATAAAGAAATAGGAGAGATCGCATACTAACAACTAAATCTCATACCTCAAAGCACTAAAACAAGAAGCAAGTACACTCAAGAGGACCAGACAGCAGGAAATAAACTGAGGGCTGACAGCAATAAAATAGAAACAAAGAGAACAATGCAAAGAATCAATGAAACAGAATTGGTTCTTTAAGAAAATCAACAAGATAGACAAACTAAAAGATGAAGAGAGAATATCCAAATTAACAAAAACCAGAAACAAAAGGGGGGATATAACAATCGATACCACACCAAGGAAATTGAGAGAATCATTAGGTCATACTTTTAAAAATTGTATTCCACAAAATAGGAAAATCTAAAATAAATGGACAATTTTTCTCAATAGATACCACTTACCAAAGTTAAATCATGATCAGATAAGCACTTTAAATAGTCCTATAGTCCCAAAGGAAATAAAAGCAGTCATTAAAAGTCTCCCAAAAAAAAAAAAAAAAAAAAAAAAAAGGCCAGGACCAGTTTTAGCTCAGAATTCTAACAGACTTTCAAAGAAGAGCTAATGCCAATACTCCTCAAATTATTCCACAAAATAGAAACAGAAGGAACATTGCCAAATTCATTTTATGAGGCCACAGTCACCCTGAAACCTGTATCATACAAAAACTCAACAAAGAAAGAGAATTACAGATCAATTTCCCTCATGAACATTGATGCAAGAATAATCAATAAAATACTCACAAACTGAATCCAAGAACACATCAAAAAGATTATTTATCATAATCAAGTAGGCTTCATCCCAGAGATGTAGGGATGGTTCAACATACAAAAATCTGTCAATGTAATACACCATAAAAACTAACTGAAAGAAAAAAACCACATGATCATCTCATTAGATGCTGGAAAAGCCTTTGACAAAACGCAATACCACTTCATGATAAAAGTCTTGAAGAGATCAGCCACACAAGGGTCATACCTAAACATAATAAAGCCTACAGTCAACATCAACTTAAATGCAGAGAAACTCAAAGCAATTCCACTAATATCAGAAATAAGACAATAAGACTCTCTTGTGGTGGTATTCTAATTGTACTGAAATGTGATTTTGATTGTATGTTAATAAATAAAGTTGCCTGGGGGTCAGAGCTATTAGAGCCATAGACAGAGCGTGGCAGTGATGGCACATGCCTTTAATCCCATAGATCTCTGTGCGTTCAGGGATACAGCCAGCATTGGAGACATATGCATTTAAGACCTGGGGGGGGCTGTACATACAGACAGTGACGAGGCAGTCACATGTTTGGGTTTACAACCAATGAGAAGGCAGAATGACTATGAAATGACTTACACACAGGGAAATAGCTCTCTTTCAAGAAGCTGGGAGCACCGCAGGAGGAAGGGTAAGATTTTAGCTCTGAGCTCTGACCTCTTGGCTTTCTCTTTTACATTGGTTCTGTGTTCCTTATTTAATACAACGGTTGGTTACATCTACACTCTCCCTTTCTTGATCTATTCAATATAGTAACTGAAGTTCTAACTAGAGCAATAAGACAACTAAAAGAGATCAAAAGGATACAAATTTGAAAGAAAGAAGTCAAAGTATCGCTATTTGCAGATGATATGACAGCTGTCCAAGGGAGAACAGGACCATGCACAGAACTCATCTTCCAGTTCTCATTAGAATCCATCTAGTTTTATGCATTAAAATTAGTTAAGTTAAAATAACACTACTTAGTAACTATCTGATGTTTTAAAAACAAACAAAACAAAAACTAGAGTGCAGGTCAAATAAAACACATTTAGGGACCAAATCTGGCTCCAGGTGTCATACCTAGGAATCTCTGCCTTACATGTTTTGTTTGCTTCCTAAGTCCATTCCTCCCTTGCATGTTACCTGACCTGGTCCTAGTAGAGACATCTGCCCACTCGACCTAGGAAACAGGCAGTGCTAGCATTAGGAACCAGAATGGAGTTAGCGTCTCAGGACCAGGGAGTGTGCTCTTTGTCATGAGCTAGTGTGATAGATACAGAGGAGCTACAAACTCTTAGGAGCTCAAGACTGAGGAGGTGTACCTTTCTAGATTCAGATCTGAAGTCTTGGGTGCCCCAAATTTCTCATATCCTTCATGTATACGTGAAGGGAGCACAAATGGATTAGAGTGTGGTGGTATTCTAATTGTACTGAAATGTGATTTTGATTGTATGTTAATAAATAAAGTTGCCCGGGGGTCAGAGCTATTAGAGCCATAGCCAGAGTGTGGCGGTGGTGGCACATGCCTTTAATCCCATAGATCTCTGTGTGTTCAGGGATACAGCCAGCATTGGAGACATATGCCTTTAAGACCTAGAGGGCTGTACATACAGACAGTGACGAGGCAGTCACGTGTTTGGGTTTACAACCAATGAGAAGGCAGAATGACTTTGAACCAACTGACACACAAGGAAATAGCTCTCTTTCGGGAAGCTGGGACACAGCAGGAGGAAGGGTAAGATTTTAGCTCTGAGCTCTGACCTCTTGGCTTTCTCTTTTACATTGGTTCTGTGTTTCTTATTTAATAAGACAGTTGGTTACATCTACATTAGAGTAGTTATAATTATCTTTCAGAGTGTTCTATCCTATAAAACATTAAAGTTTCCCAGAAACCTGAAAACGTTTTTGAAAGCAATTTTGTGAAAACATTTGCAAAAAGGTGCCTTTGTTTTAAACCTTCAAATTACAGGCACAATAGTTCAGAGACTGATGACATTAACTCTAGTCTAGTACATCATACTCCTACTTAGTACCTTACTGTGCTCACTGGCAATGAGGATGTACTGATGTAGTGTGAATTCTAATTGGTCATAATATAAAAACCCAGAGCCAGATATTGGGGTAAATGCTGAAAGATCAGAGAGACAAAGGAGCAAGCCACGGCCACCTCTTACCACACCAACTCCTCAGCTGAAAAGGGGCCAAGCTCCTGTCTCCACCCACGTTACATTCCTCTTTCCACCCAGCCATATGACTTCCAGTTTCCTCCTCCCTAGTGCTGGGATTAAAGGCATGTGCCTCCCAAGTATTGAGATCAAAGGCATGAGATCCCAAGTGCTGGGATTAAAAGTATGTGCCACCACTGCCTGGCCTCTATGGTTAACTAGTGGCTAGCTTCACACTCTGATCTCCAGGAAAGCTTTACTTGTTAGAGCACAAACAAAATATCACCACATATCAGAGTTCAGACCTATTTGATGCAGCACAGGTGCTAATGGCTGCTTCTGACAAATGGAAGGAAATACTCAGTGCACTACCAAGATATACTCGGACCAGGGAGGAGGTAAAAGCACAGAAATGCATTCTGGTTCACTAGTGCTGAGAACATGCAATATTAGCCAACACTAAATTTGGAAAGTTTATAGCAAGGGGCTGCACCAGTCACAGATATGTGTGGGGAGAAAAACATATGCACAAGGAAGATAGGTGCTAAGGCTGGGAAGCAAACACAGATCTGTCACCAGAAAAGCAAGCAATTGCCCAATTTAACTAACCAAAACATTAAAATGCACAGTATGACTTCAAATTTCAACTTAATACTGGAGAACAGTATGTGAACAACTACCTCATACACATGACTCTGACTCCTGGAGTAATCCTGTAGGACTGAGGCTGTGTTACTGCATATGTGGGAGGTTATTAAATGCTTCTTAATGATTATGTTAAAGGTCATATTCCTCATACACATAACCTCACTTACTATTATGAGTTAGACATGTACATGGGCAGACAATGGTCTTCTTCCATTAAATTCAAACTGGCTGGAATTACTGCTGATGTTGCCAGGCTGTAAGAAAAAAGAGATCAAATTAATGAGGATGAGGCTGTATAATCAGTTTATGATACAAACTGTGCTGGGGTCAAGGCTGATATCACCAACTCCCACATACCCAAGTATACTTTAAAATGTGACTCCTCTCCTTTTCTCATACTACCACAAACTCTAAGGCAAGCTGTTTCTTACTTCTCTTCCATTCAATGTACTTGAAAAATCAATTTATTTTAGCAAACTCCAATTTGATCATGCCACCCACTGCACAAACCTGAGGGCTGACTCCCTACTGCTAGAGGGACAGAGATCTACCTCCTTGGCAGGGCATTCTTGGCTCTCCTAAGTTTGGCCAATACTTCAAATCCATGAGTTTTCAATCTTAGCTGGATATTAAAAACTAGTAGGGGAGTTGTAAAAAATAAATAGGTTGGTAGCCCATGCCCCAGAAACTACTGAAGTTCTGAGATAAGATTCTGAGACTTGTAGCTTTAAGAAATCTGGGTGACACTTGAACTGCCAAGACTGAAGCACTTATCTAATTCCCCACCTATTACTCCACCCAACATAACCTAACTCTTCTGTTCCAGACAGTGGTGGCAGCTTGCTTGCCTCTAGCCCTCTAGTCAGGCAGACTGTCCCCAAGAATATCATTCCTTCCCTAACACTAGTCACAGCTCCTCCACTCTTCTGAAACCCAGTGAACCTCTACCTTTAGAAACATGGCAATCCAAATGGATTGCCATTCTGGGCATCCCAAACCCACTAATTTCCTCTGTAAATTATTTTATGCAATGACACTCTCACTGGGGATGCTTCTCTAACACCTTGGGCCCTGTATTTCTCTAGCATCGTTTGTCCACACTTCCTAGCCTCTAGCTTTAACAACGATATTAAGCATAAATCAGGTACTCATGTGCACAACACTTAATGATCACTGAATAAATTAAATTCTCTTAAATTTTATGAAGTGATTTTTCTTATACCTGACAACCTAAGCTGTCAACCTTGAGGGTTGTTTATGCACACAGTGACATGTTTTTCACTAGAAGCATCATTATACCCATGTAGAAATGATAATCACTTGTTCACAAAACCTGACGTGATGTCAAATATCTATTAATGTGTTTTCCTTATAGATAGAATGATTTCCATGTTTATGTATTTCCCATGCATATGTATTATGCTATGCGTGGATGAGCAGAAAGGGACAGTAAAACAGCTCTGCATCTCTCTACACCTGCTTTAAAAGGCCCTACCAAGCAAAGGGACAGCCAAGCCCATCCTAATCCACCATGGGGAGGACTAGAGAGCCAGAGTGCTTCTCCCTCAGTTTAAGGAAGTGGTTCTCAACCTTCCTAATGATGTGACCCTTTAATACAGTTCCTTATGTGTAGTGACCTCCAACCATAAAGTTATTTTATTGCTACTTCATATCTGTAATTTTATGATTGTTATGAATCATAATGTAAATATCTGATATGTAGGATATCTGATATGCGACCCCTGTGAAAGGGTCATTCAACTCCAAGGGGTCATGACCCATGAGTTGAGAACCACTGGTTTAGAGTGTCAAGAGCCTATAGACCAATGTCTATGACACAGTCCCCAAAGCCAAGTTGCACTGGAAGAACAGTAGCCAGCATGACTACCAAAGCTCTAGCTCAGCCCATGAAGTTCATGACCCATCTCTAGAGCCTTCCAGACACAGAGGTACAGCTTCTCTACCAAACAGCATAATACATGGCAGTTGCCTAGAGTTGAAGCGGCACTGGTGCTTATGAATTAAACAGTCCTGGGAGTGCTAGCTGAGAAACTAACCACTATTTATAACATTGTTTTTGTGGAAAATGCCTTCTGCATTCCAAACAACAGATCAGACATGAACTTCAGGGATCAAGATTATTTCTGAGGTTGGAACTGACTGTATTTTGTTAATTGCACTATGTTCAGTATTCTCCTAGGCTAAGATAGCAGCCAGGAGAGCATAACAAAAATAACTAGCTGCCATGAACATGGGTCAGAAGTATCCATGAGAATCAATGCCAGAGGGCAAGATGGGAAGAAATCCAAGTACATTCTTATTTTGCTAAAGGAGCATTAATGAACACTATTACAGGCTATGGTAAATGTTATTGGAGACGAATACTAGGAAAGATCTTTAATTTGTAAACTTAACCTAGGATGGGGGACAGCAGATATAAACTTAACAAAAAAAAAAAAAACCAACAACTACATGGTAAAACACAGGAATACAAACATTAGATACAGGCAGCAGAGGGAGAAAGAAAAACCAGTGCTTCCAGCTGGAAGTTGAAACTTCATGGAGGTTTTACATGGTACGGTAGTTTGAATGAGAATGTCGCCCCCCCCTCCCCAAAGGTTCATGTATTTGAACACTGGAATGCTGGCTGGTGCCACTGTTTGGGGAGGTCTAGGAGGTGTGGCCTTGTTGGAGGATGTATGTCACCAGGAGCAGGCTCTGAGGTTTCAAAGCCTCACCATTCTCAGGGTGTTCTTGTCCCTTACTCCCTTCTCTCTCCAATCTTTCTCTCTCTGCTTTATGCTTGTGATTCAAGGAGTGAACTCTCAGCTTCCTGCACCAGCTTCTATACCTGCCTCCTGCTTCCACCTTGCTGCTATAGACTCTAACCCCATGGAACCATAAGCCAAAATTAACTCTTTCTTGCACAAGCTGTCTTCAGTATGATGTTTTATCACAACATAAAATTAATACCCATGGAATTAAAGAAAGAGGAAGCAGCAAATTTGGTTTAGCAGAAACCACCACAGGCATTAGAAGAGCACAAGTATCATGTATTAAAAATAGCACCATGGATTTAAGAAGTTGCTGACCTACCACTTCCCAAGACAGATTTCTTATACAAGAGAACTATAAGGTACTCTGAGAAATTTGAGAGTCACGAAGTGGCAAAGATGTCAATCACCTTTATTCTTTGCTCTGAAGTCTATCTTGAGCTAGGGCTAAGACTTACTTGAAGTAAATTGACTTAGCAAACGTCTTCTAACTTCTAAAACTTTCATATTGGGTGATGCATGACATTCATCTTTATCTGAAAGGAAATGTAATGGAAGTGTTAAAACAGGAAGAATTGATAGGTAGCTTACAGAAACTAATTAGATGACTGTACCTGAAAAGTAATAAAAATTATATGAAGCACTATAAAATTGATATCCGTTATACTATGAGTCAAGTAAGAGTCTAAAATAAAACCCTAAGTCCTGCTCAGAGAATTTAAAGGTGAACTCTATATTATTCCTCTTCATTTATTTCACTTGCCTGATTTAAAGGGAAGCTTTTGAACTCTAGTCACTGTTCTGGTGAACATGGAGATACCAAGCTGACTTAACAGGCAGTTCCTGTTTTCAAGAATCTCACAAACCTCCAGAGAGATAAGCAAGAAAGAGTCCACTGAGGTAGGTCAGTCAGTGCTACAAATGATACAAGGCTTCTGGGACTTCAATGACTATGAGAAAATGAGGGAAGTCTCTGCATTCTGGGAAGAAGACAGAGATGGACAATGGGAGGCTAACAGGCAGATAAGGGGGTGGATTTGGGTTGAGATTGTATTTTAAGGAGTTAAATACTAGATTTAGCATATGGGGCTTCGATTTATATCTAAAATAAGCCACAAGGGTTTTAGTTGGAATCATATTCAAGTTTATATTTTTAAAGCATGGCTATGGGGCTAGAGAAACAGCTCAGTGGATAAGAAAATGCATTGCACACACGAGTCTGGATCCCAGCACTCATGTAAAAGGCTAGACATGGCATCCAGGGGTGCCTATAACTGCAGCATGATGAAGGGCTCTGGGGTTGGAATCAAGAGGATACTTGGGTTTGCTGGCTGCTACAGTAGCTCCAGATTCAATAAGAGACCCTGGCTTAAAGGAACAAGGTAGAGAATGATAGAGTAGAACACCTGATGTCTTCCCCTGGCCTCCACATATGTTCCCATAGGCACTCACATCCACACCCTACATTTACATGCATACATAAACACACACCTTTTTTTTTTTTTTTCTTGAGCTGAGGACAAAACCCAGGGCCTTGCACTAGCTAGGCAATCGCTCCCGCTGAGCTAAATCCCCAACCCCTACACACACCTTCTAAAAGAATTTGATTATTTATATACTAGAACATGGATGAGATATTGGGAGAAGACTCCATAGGCAGGGAATCTCTTTTGTTACTGCAGTAGCCATAAAGAGAAGAAATTGGCACAATGGCAACAGAAGTAAAATGTTAAAAAAGAGATGTCCTTCAGAGTGGGAACTAGATTAATGACCCCATCAATCACCCCAGCCTAACAACTGGAACCACCCTCAACCTTGTCACACAGTGACAAACACTGGTGATCTGGGCTATAATAGAGTGTCTTTCTAATCAGAGGCATTAACTATAACCTTAAGAAATCTGTTCTCGAACATCAGAGCCCAATCTGTGACCAACAGACACATCACACTCATCTGTCTGAAAGGTCAACTTCAGAATGGTCTCTGTGACTGCTTGCACTGCTCTGAGTTAGTGTTTGTTCATCTCATAAATAGTTTATTCATGTGAGGATGGGATTTGACACAGATTGCTATCTACCAATGAAAGAAAGGCAAAAGAAGGGGTGGGGGGTTGCCCTGCCCTGTTTCGTCTCCTTAGAGAAGAAAGCAGACTGAGATGAACTCAATGGTCACTTGTGATCAATTTCAGAAAGACAGTGAAAGAAAATAAAAAGCTTCTATGAATTGGGAAATTTAGAAGAAAGAAGTGGAATTAGTTAATAACTTTTGTGTATTTATGATTATCATCTAAAATCTTTTTAGGGCAGATACAAATTTTAAAATTATTAAGCTATATTTTAAAATTATTTTAGGTTACCTAATACCAAATGGCCAGCCCTGAAAACATGCACAGGAGTAGCAGGTTACTGAGCAGGTCCTACTTAGAAAAAGAAATGTGTGTGTGTGTGTGTGTGTGTGTGTGTGTGTGTGTGTGTGTGTGTGTGAGAGAGAGAGAGAGAGAGAGAGAGAGAGAGAGAGAGAGAGAGAGAGAGAGAGAGAACAATTAATTTAAAAGAGGTTATGACTCTGAAAAAGAACAAGGAAGGGTAGATGGATATGTTTGGAGAAAGGAAAGGAAATGATATAATTATATTATAATCTCATAAAATAGTTTAAAAAGTGAAAGAATATACTTTCTCTTAGGAGCTAATACTAGTTTCAGCAGCTGCTCAGGGTCCAGCAAATGCTACTCTCAGCCTAAAACAGAGAAACTTCTCTATATAATGAATGACAGTGAATAAAGCCATGCATGGCTGATCAGTGTGCTGAGAAAAGTGACAGTTGATGTTCAGCCCCAAACAGGACTCCAAGACTCAGGGAATATCTAGGAAGAAGAGGCAGAAAGAATGTAAGAGCTGAATGATAGATAGAAGTGCTGTGGGATGCTATCTTGTAGGCACAACAGAGTCAATGTAATCATGACATCACAGCAGTTTCAGCTGACTGCAATAGGCCTGCACTACACTGGGCCTTAATATTCAATTGTGGATAGGGGAGAGGTTCATGGAGCCCTACCCTCCCTGATGATTGGTTACCAATGGATTCTGGAAGAAGGGTAGCCATTATCTCCAGTTATCTATTCACTGGTGGGCCTACCAAGCTTCAATGGACAGCTCAGCTCCACACCCATTGACATGACTATTGTTGGTTGCCAAGTTGACTATATCTGGAAATCATCTAAAATCCAAATGGTTGGGAACACCTGTAAGGGATTTTTTTTCTTAATTAAATCATTTGAAGTGTGAAGACCCACTTCTAATCCAGATCTTTGAGTTGAGAAGATACACTTTTAATCCAGATCTTGTGAGGTGGGAAAAATCCACCTTTAATCTGGGCCACCTTCTGCTGGCAGCCTATATAAGGACATGGAAGAAAGAAGCTTGCTCTCTTTCTTGCTAGAAAGTCTATTCCTTCACTGGTATTAGAGCCTACTTCTTTGGGATTCTGGCATACACTGAAGACCAGCTAAGACATTCAGGCTCATTGACTGAACAACTACTGGATTCCTGGTCCTCCCATAGGTACATAGCCATTGTTGGATTAGCTGGACCACAGCCTGTAAGCCATTTTAATAAATAAATCCTCTCTCTCTCTCTCTCTGTGTGTGTGTGTGTGTGTGTGTGTGTGTGTGTGTGTGTGTACACATTCTCTAAGTTCTGTTCCTCTAGAGAAAATATACCTATGATAATACAACTGACCCCAGTTAAACTCAGTCAGTCACAAAACAAAACAAAACAAAAAAACTTGAATGGCAGAAAGGGACTTGAAGAGAGGGGCAAAGTGCTTAAGGAAATCTATGAAGGATGGAGGGTGTAATCATAAAATACTATATACATGTATGAACTCTGTCAAAGAACAAATTTAGTAAGTTATATAAGAACAAACAAAAATCCCCAAGTGATCTGATAGTAACCAGCATTAATATATTCTTTAGGAATGGCTGTGAATTTGTCTCTCCTCTGTGTCTACACTGAAGGAGTGCCTGCTGGATTCCAGCCACAATACTAAAAGGTGGGAAGACACAGACACAGTAAAATACAACTGCTCTCCCATATGAATGATCAAAAACCAAGTAAGGAAGAGCACAGTGTATCAATGGCAACCACGAAGCATGTATAGGATACCAGGCTAGCATAGTGTGAGATAGGATTTTTATCAATTAGATTTCCTTTATTTCATATGACAAATTGATTTCTGAAAGTCATTTACAAATCTTGGTATTTTCTAAACAAAGTAAGTTTACATATGACAGAGAAGCTAGTACTCAAAAGTTTTAAGTAATCTATTATAAGTAAATTTTTTTCTTTTTCTTTGTATTCTTAAGGTCACAAAAGGAGTTCAGACTAAAAGAAAAAACATAGAAATAGTAAAACAAAACAAAACAAAACAAAAAACCTGTCTCCTACCACCTCAACCTGCTCTGTTCCCCTGGAGATAACTTTTAACATGTTTGGTTAACTGCTGATCATTGAGAGCAACATGGCAGCAAGCTTCAATGACACTGTGTGAGACACTTGTCATACATGTGCAGTGTGTGTGAGACACTTCAAAACCTGCTCTGCAGGAGATTTTAATAAGCATTTCTAAAGAAGAGGGGAAAGAAATTAGAAGGATGGAGTGGGTGTGTCAAAGCTCGAATGCAGGAAATCTGTGCTATAAAAAATACAAAAGCACACTGTGATTACTCTCAAATCCCCTAAAATTAGCCAACACACCCTTTAATCATGGAATACCAATTGACATCTTGAAAGACTCCAGATCGTTACAAAACAGTGTGGGAAGTTAGATGGTTCATTGGCAGCAACACATGCAATTGGACAATGGGCATACCCAGAAGCAGACACAGGCCATGTGAACTGCCCCCTGGCAGCAGACCTAGAAACCAAAGCTGCAGACTGTCTAAATGTGTCGGTGCTGAGCCTGCTGTGGTTTCTGTGCTGCTGTCCCTGTGACCAAGAAATGGAAACATCCATCTGCAAAGCCTGATGCTAAACTAAATGCACTGGGTATATTTGCCTTTATCAAGTAAATACAATCAAAGGTCTCAAGAGAAAAAATTAAATTTGTTTTACAAAACCAAAAGGTATAGCTAAATATTTTGTGAGATGAATATAAGAATTGCTTATTATAAAACAATCAGAAGTAAATAAAATTCCTAGGGAATTATATTTCTAATGATTTCAGCTCCATATATATGCAAAAGTAGTGAATTTGGAAATACTTCTTTTTATGTTCAAATTCAAATCAAGACATCACTCAGCTCTGTGCAGTTGATCTTGCCAGTGAGGTTAGATGGGCCATTCTGTAGTCATAAATTTTACTTCCCAATATTTCTTCCTAGCTTCCTGCTGAAATGTTTAACTGGGAAAGAGAATGTGAGATGGTTTTCCTACTGAACTGATCCTAAGGTAGCTAAAGGAGCTAATGTACGTCATGGGCAGAGGCTTCTTTGAATTCCACTGCAGAACAAAGAGCAAGTAAGTTTAAGATGGAGAGA